CCGCACTTTTCCGTGTTAGCCTTTGAAAAAAAAGGCTTCCACCTCCCTAAAGCTGCGACCCTTTCATACAGTTCCTCCTGTTGAGGTGACCCCTCCCACCCCCGCAACCATAAAATTATTTTCCTTGCTACTTCATCACTGTCATTTTGCTACTGTTATGAATTGGGTGACCCCTGTGAAAGGGTCGCCTTGGGGTGGCGACCCAGGTTGAGAACTGCTGCTTTAGATGTTCTATCACTTCTCCAGTAAAGACCCTTCCCTGGGAAGCCCAGACTCCTTTCCGGACAAATATAAATTCCTGCACACGATTGTGTGTGTTTCATGCTTCACCTCCACCCCACCCTCCCCACTTCCTTCCTACAGACCCTAACCCATTTGCTTCTAGAAAAGATTCCCAAGGCCTTAAATGCTTATGCCTCTATTTTGTCTCTTCCTGTCTTAATTATCCTTTGTCCTGGTAAACTCCGATGCACCCTTCCAGACCCTGCTCAAAAGCACCTTCTCTGAGAAATCGTCCCTGGCCACTCCCACCTGGCCATAGCTGTTTCTTCCCCTGTGCTGCCCTGGACCATCCTTGGCACAAGCAAAGCCCTTTGCTGGCTCGCACTGCACTGTCCAGTTTTTATTTTCACTTCTGACAGCGCGCCCCCTCTCGCGTGTGCACACATGTGCGCATGTGTGCACACACACACACAGCAGTGAGCTTCAGTGTTCAGTGGAATGATGGAGGCCAGTCCTGGGAGGATTGGCATGAAATGTATGCTGAGTTAAAGCATGAATATTTGCATACAATTAATCTACCTGTGATTGATTTAACTAGTCTATACATTCTGTTCCCAGGCCATTTTTCAAAGTAGGATTGCTTCACTGTCAAGCCAACAGCTCCACCCAGGGTCTGTGACTCAGCCACACTTGTTTTAGGGTGCCGAGATTTGGGGGGGGGCAGAGTTGACGATCCTGCCTAACCTCTTGGAGGACACAGCTGGGAGCATCTGCTGCCTCTCCCTCCCGTCTGTCCCTCGAGGCCCCGTGGTGAAGACAGCAGATGTGACAAAAAAGATGGTGAGGGGAAGGACGGTGTGTGAGAAACTAGAAAGATTTGGCTTCAGTTTGGAGTTATTTGAATGGTTTTGCCTTTTTAAAAGCCGCCGCCGCCTGTTTCTCCTTCCACCCCACCCCCAACTTGGTTAACCACCTCCCCTCTTCCTGGAGCTGCAGCTGAGGAAGCGGGAGACTTGCTAAGATGCACCTGCCCTGTGCTTCTGATAGAACCTTTGAAGTCACAACCCCCCAACCCCCACTCAGCCTCTCATCAGCTCTTCTTCAGAGATGGCCTCCCCCTCAGCCGAAAGGAAGCAGTCTGCCAGCCACTAATTGCCCACCTTCTCCCCCGGCTGTGCGTGAGGCCGGCACTCCTCGGAGAGCTTATCATCGTTCTGCCGCCTGGGAGCCCAGACCAAGGAAACAGCTGAGTGACCCTGTGCGTGATACCCAGGAGAACCACTTGTTAGGCAAAGAGACCTTTCCCCTGGGGCGCGGGGCTCAGGTTAAAAAGCAAAGGAAACCATGGGATGTCACTATTTGGACCCTGGCCCTCCTGAATTTCTCCCCTTCGCCCACCTTACCTGCCAAGGTCCATCTTCCAGGAGCCAGCAGGTGTTTCCAGATGCGCCCTCCAACTTCCCCCAGAAGCCACGAGCTTCCCTTCATGGTCAGGAAGCAGGATCTCTCTCTCCCAGGGATAAAGGCCTTCTTGTCTACAGCCATTTCCAGCCTCATCCTCCTCTCAGCCGTCACTTTTCCCCACCCATCTCGAACTTCCACTGCTGCCCATTCTCTTCCCACCACAGCCCCACGTTGGATGGTCCATTACCGGCTCTGCTACTCCTAGGACATTGCTGGATCTATACAAGGGAGCTTCAAGGAAATTCATGGAAATGCAATGAAAACATAACGGAACTTCCCCACGAACTTTCTGAAGCCCCCTTGTCGTAGGTGCTCATCGCCCGTTTGCTGAGCTGTCTGAATGGGCGCCGTCTGTCCTTTAATTCTCCCAGAGTTTTCTGCCCTGGGTTGCCCAGGCCCTCTACTGCCAGTGCCCTCGGCAATGAACCCCCGCACTCTTCATGTACACGTTGACCTGGTTCCTAGCGTCCTCCTTTCCCGCCTGCCTCTGCTGTGTGGGGCTGCCCCCATCCAATGCACGTGGTAAGCTAGGGCTGCCCCCAGCCCCCTGAGGATGGCTGGAGTCTCTGCCCTCAGGACATTCGGAAGTCCTTCTGGGGACTCTTGGAGTCAGAACTAGAGGGTGCCTCGGGTGCTCCAAACCTCACTGCTGCAGAAGGCAGGGTGGAGCTGTCCACCGAAGTCCAAAGCCCCATCTTTTCTGAACGGGTGGTTAGCAGCCCACGCAGCCCACGCCCCAGGGCTCCTTCCTCTGGTGCCAGAGTCCAGAAATGAGAGAGCCGGCCAGCCTTGGCCATTGATCCTCACTCTGAGCCGCAGCCTTCTTGGTCTCGCTTGTAGGTGCAGAGGTCCCAGCCAACTCAGCTTCTTGAAAGGCTGCTGATTCGGCCACGGAGCCTCCCCTGGGCTCAAGCTTGCCTCCGCGGTTTTCCTCCCTCTCCACCTCTGCAGTTGCCCAGTTCCTCAAACCACCTTTGCCGTTTTGCTCGGCAGACCGAACAGGCGCCCGGACGGACTGACTCCTGGTTATTTTCTTCCCCGGTTTCCTTCCTCGCAAAGATTGAGGTGTTCCATTGCCATCACGTCTGTTCTGACTCCTGAGGACCCCGTGTGTGCAGAGGCG